GTAGTGGGTGGGGGCTGAACCCAAGCTATTGCCGTCACCTCTCTCCTTCTGATTGTGTACAAAGCTGCAGTCTAGCCTCCACCTCCCTACAACTCGCACAATATAGGGGTTATATAGGGAAAATGGAAAAGACAATGGAAACTACTATACTATAATGGGGGCTATATAGGGGCTATATAGGGATAATGGAAAAGAAAATGGAAACTACTATCCCTATTCTAAACCCTAAACCCTAAACCCTAAAATCTTGAATTCTCAACAAAAGCCTTAACCCTCCATCCTAAGCCCCCGAGCCCGGGATGAAAAAGAACTTGTGTCGGGCCAAAAGAATAAGCACAAAACCCGCTCAAAACCCCGCCCGAAATTTAGGACATGAATCCTACACAAGTTCTATAACCCAAACACTAAGCCCTAAACCCTAGATCCTAGTTCCAAAACAGTACCTGCTTCCTGCCAAGGTTGCTGACTCGGGAGCTTCCTGGGCGGTAAAGTGCGGGAGGTGGACCTTTCAACAAGGCTTAGGCCTTTTTAGGGTTTAGGGGTACGTAGGGTTGCATAGTGATAGAACAGGTATACAGGGATGTACCCACCAACTAATCGAAAATTGAATGGGTGGCAAAGAAAATGGTAAATGAAATGCAGACTCGGTTTATAAACGGATTTAGAAGGCTTTAAGTCTAGGGTTGAGACGAGTACGGCTCAGGGCTCTGGGTTAGGGTTTAGGGGTTTCGGGCTTGGGGTCTATGGTTTGAATCTCAGATTACCAGGCTTGCAGTTTGGGGTTTAGGGCTTAGGGTCTAGGGTTTAGGGTTTAGGGTTTAGGGTTTAGGGTATAGGGCTTGGGGTCGCTTAGATTTCTTCAATACCACTCCTCACGAGGATTTCAAGAAGAAGCCCGTATAAATTCTACAGCAAGAGGTACTGGGACTGTGGTTTTAAAGTTCATGGTTTAGGGCCCGCCTCGTGATGTAGGGCATGTAGGGGAAAGAGGTTCTACATGTGAGGACCCTACAACCTAAACCCTAAACCCCAAAAACTAAACCTTGAACCAAACACCCACACCACAACAGGAATGCCAGCATGTCTTCGCTCGGTCTTCAGCCAAGAAGCTCGCATGCCCAAAGAACAGGACCTTGCAGGACCGACAGGGTTCAGCATAGGGCTTGGTCCGGTGGTCATCAATTTTAATTTTCCTTGGGCTAAGGGTTGGGGATGTAGGGAATCAGGTGTGGAATTTTAGCATGTAGGGAAGCCAGTGTGCAGAATTCGGGGACTTGCACCCAGGGATGCTCTGCAGTGTCTAAACACGGGTATCCAGACAAGGATGGGAATTCCTGAGGCAAGGTTCCTTGTCATGTAAAAATGCGCATTGGCAGAAAAATGCCATGATGGTTTGAAGAATTTTGAGGAGAAGCCGTCCTGAGACTATATGGAAGTTTCCATACGAAGGGAGCCCCATAAATGACCCCAATATACCATGATTCATGTTTTAGGGATTCCTCAAATAAGGCCCCTAATGTTTTTCGATGGACCCTAAAGAGCGACCCAAAAATTCAAAAACCTCGATAAAGTGGCAGCTTTGTCTTCCAAGGCGAGTTGCGGTCGGCGGCAGCTGTCGGTGACCTGAATTCAATACTGAGACTTCAGGGTCTGAGACTTAGGATTTTGTTTTTTTCCGAAAGTTTAGGTTCTGAACACTTAGGTTTGGGCCTTCTGTGCCCGGAGCGCCAGGCCATAGGAGTCTGGGGCTAAATCAAAATCAGGTAGTGGTGAGAAAACGTCTTTTGCAGACAAGCTTGGCTTTCCCATGGTATGGAACTTATACCGACATGAGTCAAAGGCAAACAACATGGCCTTCAACCTATCTGGCAGGAGAAGCAACACTTCCCTTTGACAGACATAGCGTTGTAATTCTTAGTAGTGTTATTGGTATTGTCGGTATTGTTTCAATAGCTATGACAAAATGCAGGCTTTCAGGTCTGATCATACTAAACCCTAAACCCTGAGCCCTAAACCTCAACCCAGTTCCCGGTAAACCTGCTA